AGTGATTTAACTCCTAAATGACAGTGAATTGAGCAGTGAAATTGCAGGGGAATAATCTATACACTAAAACTGCCTTATTTAGCTAAAGTAATTTAGGTGACTATAGTGTTCCTTTAATAAATATATATTAGGATTACTTAGTGCACTGTCAACAATTATAGTCAATTTTACACAGCTGGGCTATATATTAGGCCTTGGGGTAACATAAGAAGATGTCTCTTATAATTTGCATTATTCAGCATTGCCTGATTCTTAATTGTAAAAATATTTTAGAATATAGACTGATGTGTTCACCTGACCTGGCTTGTGTAAAGGAATGTTTGATGTCACATTGATATGGACAGCCGACTGTGTTCAGGCTCTGTACAGCTGTAGGCAGACTACACGATTTATTACAGGAAGGGGAAATCCAGTTGAATATGTGAAGACCTTAAGATCTATTTATTAAACCATTGGGAGTTTATTCTCTGAACTGGGAATTATGAAGACCTGACAAGGAAATTGCAAATGTTAGGCCATAAAACCTAAACTGCAGAAAAAAAGCTAAGCTGGGGAATTTTTTCCCCCTGTTTTGGCTGTTTTCGAATAAAATTTATAATTCCCTCTTTATGTCTCCACAGTTTTGCATTTAATCAATAAACCCCTTAGCTGGTAGCCGCAACATTTAGATGAACGACAGCAGAACTATTATCTGTGTTGCCTGGATACTGTGTGGAATCCTTATTTTCTATACTTTAGCACTCCAGTTCCTGTGGACCACATTTCCCATCTGTGCTGCAAAGGTTGGCTGTCAGTGGTCTAGAGTTAATTGAGAAAAGGATGAGAAGTGTGTGCCTATTTTACAGTAGAAGCTTATTTTACGTAACTATCCATCTATTTGATGACAGCAAATTAAACATAGTAGAGACTAGATATCCCGTAGGAATGTAAAAAGCCAATCAAAGCCACTTCTAGCAAACATAAACTCCAACCAAAGGTTGATTAACCTCTCCTGAAGACCACTTTGGACTAGACTGCTGTCAGAACAGTCTCTCCATGACAGCAAATCAAAGGTGGATATTTATAAAAATGTTGTGTTCTAAAACAAAATGGTGCAAATTTGAAAATGAGCAATCACCAATGGAATTTGCATGTTGACTTGCTTGACTGCTTGTTTCTACGGTGACTGCCCCATTTCAGGACCTTGAACCACGTTTCAGAACACAACACTTTGATACATCCTACTTAAAGTCTCCATGACATCGAGCTCCCTGTATTAATCTTCATCACAGTACCACTACATAGAATATCTTCCTGGGCATATGGTTTATTTAGCTGTCTCAAATAATTTTCCAGAAACTGTGCCACCTGGTGGAATAAATACAATATGCAGTCATGCGTTAAAACAATCACATTTTATATTTGTTAAAACATGTGGACAATTCTACACAACAATACATGCATGCATTAATTCTTTTTCAGTTACAAGATTAATTCTATCCACATTTAGTAGCATAATAATGGCTTAAACCATTTGTTTGCTATAACAATGTTGTTCTAACATTGATTACAAGAAAAATGGCTTCAAGTTTCATTTTATGCATATACTAACATTAATTTAACAATAACAATATTATTTTGAGCATATTGACTGAGATCATCTTCTGTCTGTGATTGTAAAAGTATCAGAATGTGCCGTTCAACAGTGATATCCAGCGCAACCTGACCAGGCGTGTGTGTGAGAACAAAATTAACCTAATCTAGATTCTACAGCGCCAAATATTATTCCAGACAATTATATGTTAATGTTCCAAAGCAGTGTGGATTATGTCATAAAAGAAACTGTTAGCAGTACATGGCCGTGGCCATGGGATTTAAATCCAATCTAAAGATGTAAATACAACTCAGAATAAGCAATATATTTTACCAATAATTTATAAATTATGTATATATTGTTTTCCTATGTTTTGCCCAAATCTTAAATTTACACATTTTGCCCATCTCCAGATTAATTTCTAGAATAAATCCAATTGACTTGGGCCCTCTACCTCTTGTTTCTGTCTTTCAATACTTTTCTGTTTTATATCCCTATCTAAAACGTGTACAGAGCTACTAAATATGTTGGAGCTATATGACAGTACAGCAGACTTTTGATGATCAACCTAAAGCTTTGTTCCCTTGATTATAATTAGTAGTTAATATCACCAACCTAGTCCACTGCGCTTTGCAATAATACATTCAGTATATAAAACAACAAGTATTGACATACAAAGTATAAAAATTATTTATTTATTTATATCTTTCAGTCGAATAAATATCAATGACCCACCTATCTAGCACCGACATTACTATGTTTGATAGGCTAGCAATCTGTGTAAAAAGTTAAATGAGAAACTGTTATTATTTTAGCATGTCCCATGTCAGTGCAGCGCAGGATTGTTACAGTGTATGTTCCAAGTATGTAATGTTACAGTTTCAATTCATGTTTAAGGGAACACTTCAGGCACTAGCATTACTTCAGCGTATTGTAGTGGTTATGGTGCCAGGTTTTGGCCAAACTGCTTTCAAAATGGTTTAACAAAAAACAGAGGGACTGAATCCAAAGACCACAACCCTTAGATTAGGCTGAGCTGTGTATGATGCTTAAAGTGACTCTTTAAAGGGCAACTGTCACTATCCTTAAAAGGAAACGTTGAATAAAACATTGAAAATCACCCATAAATGGTGCTACCTTTTTTATCTGTTGTTTTCTTTGAAATGTGTTTGAAAGATTTAGTGAATGACATCCAAATCCAGTCCAGTGAAGGCACAGCTAGGGCACATTATGCAGATGAGGAGAAAAAATAGAAACATTGTTTCATTTCTTCTCTTCTATGTACATGTTTTATATGCTGACTGCCAGGTGCAAAGGACAAACTGCCAGGGAGCCAAGATGGAGATGTCCAATTAAAGGGACACTATAGGCACCTAGACCACTTCATCTCATTGGAGTGGTCTGGTTGCAGTGACCCTATCCCCTTAACCCTGCAATGAAAAAAAAAATGCAGTTTAGAGAAACTGCAATGTTTAAAAAGCAGTGTTAAGACTGCCTCTAGTGAATGTCTACCAGACAGTCACCAGGGGCACTTTCTGCTGTTTCACTGAGTTTAACTCCATGGAATGGCGGTGGGCATTCTCATGAGGATGTACAGCATTTTCAAAAACCCTATAATAAAGTAGAGAGTTAATTCTCTCCTATGGGGAAGGCCTAAAACATACGCGGTGAACAACGTGCATGCGCATTAGGGTCCCCCTCATGATGATGTCATAGGAAGTGGACACAGAGCTGGAATAAGCTAAGTGAAAAAAGTTTTTTTTAATCCTTTCAATGTTGCATTGTGGCTAGGGTGCGGGGACAGAGGGACAATATAATGTTAGGAATACAACTTTGTATTCCTAAAACTATACTGTTTCTTTAAAACATAAAGAGTGTTGATTTCTACATTAAATTTTATTTTTCACACCTTGTAAATAATATTTGTTAAATATAGGGATAAGTAAACATACATTTAAACATTCTTAAAAGTGACACTTCCCCTTTTATAATTTGAGCATGCCCGGCTAAAGGTGAATTTTGAGCAGCTCCCAGTGCGGCCAGATAGCAGCACGGGAATTAAACAATTTAAACAATCTATGTGCATTGAACAGGAACAAAAGAAACGTTACTGTGTCAAGTTAATGCAACACATGCTGGAAATCAATTAAATCTTTGCAACAATGTGTATTGTGTTACCGTATGTAAGGCTGGCATTATTGTGTAAATAACACGCAGTTAGACAGACCCAACTAACTAATCTAAACGGGTTCTGATCTGTATCATTTCCAGCTAACACTGATCACACAAATGACAGAAAATGCAATAATTAAAGGAACAGCTTCAAGCCCTAATCTTCCATTCATGTTCAAATCTTTGTGTTGGAGAAAATATTAATTTAAGGATAAGGATGTCGGGCCAGCATTATTAATAATGTAATCCGTATTTTATATCAGACAGATCTGATGAGATCATGTTTAAAAAATGGAATGACGGAGAAATGTTGAAAAGGCAACAAAAAGATCTCCAGGATGGAACTTGTGCCAGTGTTCTATTCTTTGTGAGGAACGTGAAAATTATTAGGGAGATAGAAAGGCCTCCAGCAGAGGTGATAGAGACTAGTACAATGGTAGTGATCAATACAGACTGGGATAGCCAGACTACTGTACAGGAATGGGTTAATTGGTTTTACCCACTGTACAAAATGTGTTTCTAGAATAGGGGTTTGGAAGACTGACAAAGCATAATGGGTGTTGTAGTTCTGCAGTAGATTGGGGTGTCTACAGTTTGGCCATCCTTGCTCTATCTGTATCATTGTTTTCCACAAGATGTTAAAAAGTGATTGCTATGATGGACACGATGGGCTGGATTATCTTAGTGTATGGGAAATTGCTATCCAGCCTCATTGGTCCTAAACAGGATACAAGCCCCCAAAACATTCTGTGTTTTTAAATAGGAAATGGGAATCCTTGATGGATCAATTGGCTTTTAATTGCCTATCTGCATGCTCAAGCCTTGCACCGGAGGAGGCTAAAACTATATAATTGTAATATGAAAGCACATTCTGAGTGCCGCCCCTGTAAACTCAGTGCACGTTGGAAAAACGTGCAGCTCTGTCGCTTTATTCTGTGTTACTGAAAACAATACTACCGCCTTCTATTGTTATGATCTTACACCATAGCTGGCATCATTAATGTCTGATAAAAAGAGTGATAAAATGCATGCATTCTGAATATTATATATATGCTTTAAAAATACTGCACTGTTGCATGTAGTCTCCATTGTACTGCGCTACGGAACTTGCTGGCACAATATAAATAATAAATTAATAATAAATAAGAGTTGCACAATATACCTCGCACAACGTGGAACTAAAAAAAAAAAATTTGCAGTGAATTTAAAATGTAGTAATAATAATAATAATAATAATAATAATGAATATCTTTACCTGATGTCAAGGGTATCATCTTTCTCAGTCCATTCTAAAGGCTGCTGCTCTATGTCACCTTCACTAACGCACGGTGATCTCACGGTAGTTAACACAACCATTTTCAGCGATGTTACATACACAGTTGCATCCGCTGATGTGCAATCTTGTATCCTAGTATCTTCAGATATAAGAAAATCGGAGGCAGAAAGCCATGGGGAAAAAAAACAAAAAAAAAACAGCTAGATGGGTTTTGGTTGGTTAGAAATAGTCACGTTGTCAACTTAGATTGCTCAGTTTCCTGCATATTAAAAGAGGGCACATTATAGATCAGGCAAGTAGACATTAGTATTTAGTTGCCTAGCAACTATTGGATGGGAACCGAGGACCGAGACAACAAAATAAGGGTTCCATGTACATCGTGATTTGCAGTGACAGGGGATAAAGGACGGCTCGAAATCAAAGCAAGTCACGATACGACGCCCAGCTCTATTGTATGTTACTAAGTCAGTGGGAAATAGATGGCTAGACTGCCCATGCAGTATGGAAAATTAGTAAATTTCAGACCTGCAAATATGTTATATTACTTACTCAAGCACTGCATAAGGAAGAGTAAATTCAAAATACATATGTTATGGGTGTGTTTAAAAAAATATGGTCTGCCCAAGGTTAGTGGGAGTTACACTCCCAAGCATCAGCTGACTTCATTTTAATTCAGCTTAATTCAGATTTCCAGTTGTTTCTAAGCTGAATTATTGGTTGCAGTAGTAAAACACATTACCCTTAAAGGGACACTCAATTGCCCAAATACAAAATAAATAAATAAATAAATAAATAAATATCACGATTTAGTAGATATACCGCCACTGGAAACTTGTGTGCATTTAATTATGCATTTTTTTCATTGAGGTTCGCGTAAACCAGCTTGGAAAACCTGCAGTTCTCTTGTCTGCTGCCTTTGCAAGCCCTCCCTTTCTAACCCCGCCCAGACTTTCTGTGGCTGTCCAATTACAAGCTTCCCAATGCAGCTCAATGAGATGTCTTTGCAAGGAAGGTGCTCCGAGCAATTGCTGTCTCTTGAGCTAACCAAACCAGGAAGTAACAGGACCAGCTATCTGAATGTCAGTCAAGGGGTGTAATCAGGTTCATTTATAAAAATGCCAATTTCTACTGAAATCTGCACTTTTTGTAAAATAAAAAAAAAGACACCTTTTTTCTTTGTCACCTTAATAAAGGATCCGTGGACTTAAAGTGACACTTGACTGCCCCCCAAATTATTTGAAATTTTTAAGAAATATATATATATAATACATTGTTTAGTAGATATACCCCTAATGGAAACTTGTATGCATTTATTTATGAAATATTTAATTGCAGGTATATCTAAAAACAGCTTGGAAAATCTACATTTCTCTTGTTTGTAGCCTTTGCAACCCCTCCCCTTCTAACTCCGCCCAGACCTTCTGTGGCTGTCCAATCACAGAGTTCCCAATGCAGCTCAATGAGAAGTTTTTGCAAGGCAAGTGCTCTGAGCAATCGCTGCCTCTTGAATCTTTCTATACTGAGCTAAACTGCTTGAAAACCATGGGGTGTAATCTGTACAATTTATAAAAGTGCCAATTTCTATTGAAATCTACGCATTTTGTAAAATAAAAAAGAGGACACACTCTTCACACATAAAGCATTTTCGCAAGTTATTCACTAAGCTAATAATTGTGGATCGATAAAAAACACTGTTTCTGTCTGTTATGGATTAAAATTCCTAGCACTTCTATGAGTTCTTCAAGAAACACACACATTGTCTCTTTTTCTCCTATATTGTGCACTATCCTGTTTAGAAATCTTGTGCCCTCTAATTTTAAAAAAGCAGGCAGTCTCAGAGTTAAATGTTTTTTTTTCTGTATCTGTGCAACAAAATGTGCCGGCTACCAGATGGCTTCTTTCTCTATTGTAGAGGAACAGAACCGTTACTTTTTTATAAATACATATCATCCATCTGGTAAAAGCAACAGGATTTAACACTCCTATCTTCAGTAAATCAATAATTATGTTTAATTATCCAATGTTTTATTCCCCTTCTGGGAATTTTTCTTGTATTATATGTCCTGTTTAGGTCATGTCAGACAAACTAGACCAAACATGTCACAAATTCTAGGAATGCTAATTATTGTACAGAATATCAAAATGGCTCTGTCACCTTCTGGGGTCTTTGCACATTTTTTTTATGACCTCTGATGGTAACATGCCACTAGGGGTGCTGTAGTCGTTGCCATCTTGAATTGTCATCTCCTGGCACTTCCTCCTGTCAATGTGGTACTCTTGCCCACCTGCAAAACTACAACACTGATGTCTAGCGCGGAATGAAAGAGAGATAAGTATTATATTCGCCATGTAAAAATTAAAGGGACTCCAGTCACCAAAACAACTCTAGTTTAATGAAGCAGTTTTGGTGTATAGGTCATGCTTCTGAAGTTTCACTGCTCAATTCTCTGCCATTTAGGAGTTACTCACTTTTGTTTTTGTTTATGCAACCCTAGCCACACTTCCCTTTGCTGTGACTGACAGTCTGCATAAAAACAAAATGGTTTCATTTTCAATCAGATGTAACTTACTTTAAAAGGTTTTAAAATGAACTTTAATTACATCCTGCAGAGTCTAGCAAGCTATTAACAGAGCAGGTGATAGCAAATTCTAAATTAAACAGAATTTGCAATAGAGGAAGTGTAAACATTAGATGACTCTTTACAGGAAGTGTTTAGGAAGGCAGTGTAAGTCACATGCAGGGAGGTGTGACTAGGACTCTATAAACATAGTAATTTAACTCATTACTGGCTGAGAATTGAGCAGTGAGACTGCAGGGGCATGATCTATACTATACACCAAATCTGCTTCATTAAGCTAATGTTGTTTTGGTGACTATAGTGTCCCTAAATAAAACTATAATTTTTGTGTGTGTACTTTTCCTTAAAAGCTAGATAATGCCTTATTCCCACAGGCGTCACTAGAAATGACTGGGGGAAGTGAAAAACTTGATGAAAGTAATCCCATGTCCATTCATTGACTTATGATATCTGTTGACTGCATTTGAATTTTAATAAAATTAAAATGTTGTTTTATGAGCATTTCATCTTTACGATATACTTAATTTGTTTTTAGTTTTTTTGAGGAGGGGTGACAGAATCGCTTCAAGTAGAAGTATTTATATTACACTTAATATAATTTTTTTTGTTTTACAGAAAACATAAGAATTATGTGGCAGTTTTGAGGATAGAAGTAACAATTTCAGGAATAAATAAATTGGAGGAATGGTTACCCTGAACAATATAGATTTTTGTTCTTCAAAGGGCATGGATCTACATTCTCTTCATAGAAGACTAGGTTCCGTTTTGAAATCACAACTCACTAGACATCATGTGACAAAGGAGCTCACTTAACATAATGTAACAGAGAATGCTGTATCCAACTGCTAGTCACAGCACACTAGACATCATGTAACAGAGAGTTATGTAATATGTGTCCAACTGCTACTTCCAGTCCCAGCTCACTTAAAGGACAACTATCATCAAATGTTCATGTTTCATTTATGTCTAAAGTTTATTACATTTAATAAAACTTAATTATGTATTTTTCTAATGTTGTATATAGATTTTTTTGACAAAATTTTTTTTTTATCAGACTGGGCAGCCAGGGCCAGATTAAGAACCCAGTGGGCCTGGTGCTGACAAATATGACGGGGCCTAATTACAGAATCTTATCGACCACTAATACAGTCATACCTCCCAAGCATCATATATCTGATGGAGATGGTGTTGGAGGGAAACTCAAAGGATGCAGCTATAAGAAGACACATACTCTATGCTAATCTCTCTCTAATTTATTCTTTCATCTTTCAAGTAAATCCATACCCCCTAACAGCAGTGTCCAGTGAAGCAGGAAGTCAATGGGCGGGGTAAAAGGGTGGGCCACTGACGCAAATCACGTGACTAGAACTGCCAAAAGGACATGCAAAAAGGGGGCATGTCTGTCCAAAGAATTGGAAGGCCAGCCTGGCATCAGTGTCCTTATGTAGCACTGTGTCAGTGTCCCCATGTCGCCCAGTCCCCTAGTCTCCCTGTGTCTGTGTCCCCATTTTTCCCAGTGTTCCCATGTCTCAGTGTGTCCCGTGTCACTAGGATACTAGGGGACACTGAGATATAATAATTTAAGCCGCCACAGGGAATTTAGGGTCATAGCAAAACAGTGAGCTCATTTTCAAAATTTCCCTTCCTTACTGCATAAATTCCTACCTTTTCTCAGCTAAGCAATCCTCTTTTTTCCCCAGACAAAACTTCCTTGTTTGCGCTCGATAGTGACCAATCAAATGTTTCTCATAGTGAGGCATTGTGAACAAAGAGCATAAAACATCTTGTGAAAACTCAGTTTGGTGAACATACCTAAAGATCAAGACCTACACAAAATGATATTTTAGTAGGTTGCTGGCGAGAGCAAAACTTTACGAGTAAGGAGATAAGACTCATCCTCTACTTTTCCTGCAAGCCCTAAAGTAACCATTGTGATAGAATGTAGGATAGGGTCTAGATAGATCTCAAGAAATGAGGGGAGACTGAGATACAAAGTCAGAGAACCTATGGCTAGAGCTGCAGATATAGAGTCATTTAACAGCAGATAATATGTGCACCAAAACACTTTAGCTCAATGAGGTGATTTTAACGCACCTCCGTCCCCAGCAGTTGATAGGGGGCCCTGTAAAGGAGCACCCCGGTCCCACAGGAGAGGCGGACAAGACAAACTATTGCACACGTTCATGCAACAGTCAGGCCTTATAGATATTTGGAGAGCTCAACATCCGGATGAGAATGACTATACGTTTTATTTGCCACCACACCACACATATTCCAGAATAGACCTATTTCTGGTAAACCCCCCGACTGTTTCCAGAGTTTCGGAGTCCACAGTGGGTTCCATAACTTGGTCAGATCACGCAGATGCAAACTAAGCGTGGCGACGCCTTGGTTGTGGCGGCTGAATAGCTCGCTACGGCAGGATTCGGAAATAGTTGAGACTATTCATAGAGAGTTGAACGAATACTTTCTCAGGAAGGCAGCATCGGGGCTATCGAAAGCCGTAATATGGGCAGCGCATAAGTCTGTCATTAGAGGTATACTGATCAGAGAAGCGACA